ATATATATATATATATATATATATAATCACTGTATCTTCATGGATATTTTATAAAATTGTTGTGTCTAAATAGCATGAAAACATTTACATAAAAATGTTTATTTTGCTTGAGATAAGTTCATGCTAATGATATTTTATGTTATTTAAGGATTAGAGTGTTATATAAATAGATATAAAGATTAAGGGGTTGTTTGGTAGCAGGATTTAGGACGGATTTGAATGGATTTGGGCAAAGCCCAGCAAAACGGACTAAAATGCAAAACCAAATCTCTGATTTGGCGGATTTAACATTCTAATGTTGGGAGAGGGAAGAAGAGTCCGCTTGTTTCAGGATTTAACACTCAATAGCCAAACAGTCACATAGGATTTGACATGATTTATCATGAATGTTACCAAACAGTTTTCAAGATTTAATCCCCTCATAATTTCGTAAATCCGAATTTAGAAGATTACGAAATCCTACTTAAATGAAATCCTGGATGCTACCAAACAGCCCCTAAGAATTAGATATGTAAATATATAAGAATTCAGCGGTGTGTAAATTAGGAAGAAAAACTGGCTGGACAATTAGCATTCTTGAGAGGCTTTTATTTCTAGAATCATACAAGTTTAGAGCAAATGAAGTAAAACATTTAAGATGTAAATGTCATTACTGGACCTGTATTTCTGGATCTGCCACAACGTACTGCTTTAGAAGTTTATCACCAAATGCACGGGATACAGCAAGTACACCACCAACCCTCCAGGTCCCTGTAGATTTAAGTGGTAACAGAGATGGGATCAAATATTATACATACCTGTTCAAAGAATTAACTGCTCTGCTTACCTGCCCACATTACAAAACCTCCAGCCTCCTCGATGCGTTGTCTTTCATCCGTTTGGTCAGGTTTATGATCTCGAGAAACAGCTATAGCTACACATTTTGAGCCACATTTGCAGATTATTAATCAACTAAAATACGAATGAGCAATCAATAATTCCAAAGTTGCTAAATATGCTATTTGCTTATGTAATAATTACAGTTTTTTTCTAACAAATTCAGAGAGAAATAAACCAAGTGATCATCACCAGTTCGTAAAATCATAGCTGAGAAATAGACATGAACTATATTCTTTTTATTGTGAGTGTGTGGGGGTGTCAGTAGAGCGGGTTGCAACTTTGAATTCTTTTTTGGAGATCTAACAGTTTTTTGTTGGCTCAAAAGTAACACTAATAGGAGAAGGGTCTATTGACTAAAAGACAAAAAAAAGGGAATTTCAAAAATGACCAATGGTAGCAGAGCTTGCACATTAAAGACGACAAGGTTTCAAATCCCTTCAAAAGAAAACAACAATAACTTCAAATAGATGGCATTTGTCCTATTTAGGAATGAATGGATCCCTTTCTTCTTTATGCAGCGGTTTTTTAAAATAGGTATTTGGTTCAATATTTTTACTTTGCTGTTGAATCTTCAGTATGAATTATTTTAGAGAGATTTACATGCAAACCATTGTAACACCTAAACTTTTAAAATTACTTATATAACATCATAATTTTTAAATAGTATAAAAAATACAATTAATATTAATTTATCTAAAGTGAAATGCATCTTTTCATGTATATATTTTGATGAGATTTAGCAACTGAAGTGTAATATATGTAATAATAAATATTTAGGCATTAGATATATAAATACAAAAAAAATTCTGCTATATGTGCATGCCAATCCCCTATATCTCATGGTGAAACTATTTTGATTCTTTTTTAAAGTCTTGAGAGATCTAAATGGTCATTTAATATAGTTGATGACCATTTTAGTCCTTCATAAAAAATCAATGAACCATTTTTTATCATTTTCCCTAAAATAATGATTCATAGTTAATACTTAATATAATATTGAATTCTATTAACAATATGCATTGATCATTTCATATGATTATTTTGATTCTTTTTTAAAGACTTGAGGGATGAAAATGATCTTTTAATATAATTGATGACCATTTTAACCCTTTATAAAGAGTCAAGGGACAATTTTGATAATTTTCTCTATTATTTTAACAAGACATGAAAAAGTAATATACCTCGACATCTATTCAGTGCAAGCAGCAATGATAGATAAATTTTTTCCTAAAAATTAAAACCAGGTATCATTCATAGTAAAAAAAATGGTTAAGGACAATATGGAAAGCTAAAAACTGAACGGGTTTCATGCTAGTATTATTAGCACGGAATAATTATAGACATAGATAAAACACGAATAATTCAAGTGACATTTTCATTTTTTTGAGTTGACTGCTTTCAAACAGAGGTTGGATGGAACACCTGATGCAATTCTAGTCCAAAATAGTTCTATCAATAAGATCACGGGAAAGTATGCAAATAAAAATCTAAAAGATCCATCCGACGATCAAGATTAATAACATCTCTTATTCGGAAAATTGTTTAGAGCTTCCTTAACCAACAAGTATTGAGTAAAAATTATTGCAAGATTAAACTTTACCATTTCCAGCTCGACAGATAACAGCTCTAGAATCTCCAACATTAGCAACCAACAGGCGATTACCAACAAGAATAGCAGTTGAAGCAGTTGATCCAGCGTCATGGCCATGATTATTTTCAGATTTTAGAAACTCTGAGTCTGTTTGACTGTATGCATCAACTGCATTACATAACAATGGTAAAGAATTCACACCATAGTTAAACTTCCACAGAAATAAATAATACCAATAATGATGCGATTCATAGATTTAATTGATGATTTGAACTAGAGCTATGTGAGCGCAGTCACATGTTTATTACCTAAAACCATGGAAGTCAAAAAAAAAAAAAGATTCCTCTTTGTTAAAAAGTAGTAAAAGATTAGAAGAAAATCCTTAAAATAGAAGGGGCTCTAAAGGTTGGTTCATATTCCTTCAAAACACTACATTTACATTTCCCGACAGTTTCCCATATTACTAATGAACTTCATTTAGATTTTCATCATCACAACTCCATTAAATTTTGTGTAAGCACACCTTTAAATTTATAAAAATTGGACCAATCTATGTAACTAATAGTATTTCCAAATGAGAGAAAATAGATTCTTCCAACATGAAAAAAGGAGGGAGTAAGAATTAAAATTCTTCCTCTCAAATTTTTACCTTTCAAATATTACTTTAGCCTAAACACCTTCTAAGATGAAAATAATAAGTAAATAAACAACCTTCTCACTCACTCAAATCACCTCTTTTTCACTCCACTTAACCAAGCAACCAGCCTAATGTCTAGTGGCAGCTACTCTAGCAATGACAGCCATGAACAGAAACTCCTTTGACTATGGTAATAATGTTCTCCTCCAACAAAGAGGTGTTATTTTTTGAAAAATCCATGCTACACATGACTACATGAGGCTTGGACTTATGGCCAAGGTGGAAAATCAGATCAGACATAGAACCGGAAGGAAAGGTTCAAGGTTCAATGGTTCAACCGGAGTTGAAATCGATGACGTGATAAATATTAAAATTATTTAAATAAAATCTAAATGATGTAATAATGATGAAATAATTATGCAATAATATAAATTTGTAACTAAAAAATAAACAGAATTCATACACAAATAATATCTTTTGTAATTTTAAATTTAAACATCTTCAATTTTTAAATTTGATTTCCATCAAATATAAAATTAGTTCACATAAAAGCTTATAAATTTAATATAAATTATTATTAATTTATGATACATATTTATATATAATTTACATATAATAAATTCACATTATAAATTAATATCTATAGATTATTCATGTTAGATCATTTAGCATTAATAAATAATTAAAATAATTATTATAGTGTATAATTAAATAAATATAAAAATTAAATAGATACAAAATTAAGTATTATTAATTAAAAAATAAATATTATTCATATTATAAAAAAATATTAAAAATCTGTTTAAAAATAAACCATGTATATATTGTAAACAGGAGAATCTTAGCTTAATTATTTAGTCTCATATCATTAGAAAACTTTATCTTAGTATTGTTTATATAATTTTTTCTTTGTATGTGTTAGGAACTCATACAGCATAGTAGGGCTATATGAGAATGTTTTGTTGGTGCTTCATTAGCAAATCATAATTATATGCAATTAATGCTCATTTAAATTAATTTGTTAAGTTTAATGTCATATTTAATATTTTATATTAAATTTGTTAAATTAATTTATTTAATTATTTAAATAAAGCAACAATTGAACCGACTGGTTAAAAGAAAAATCGGAGATCAGTTCAATGGTTCACTGGTCAAACCAGGGGTTTTACCCGATTTAGTCTAGGTTGATATAAAGTTAGTTTTTAAGATGGACCGGATTGGCCATATGATCGAACTAGCTGATTCGACCCAGATTTTGAAACCATGTTTATAAAAACAGGAGGATATATTGAAGTGTGAAATGTCGTAAGGAGGTGCAAAGTTTTAAAGATAATGATGATGGATTCATGAACTATGAGTAGTAAAGGTTGTAATGCTAGAGTGCCACATGTGATTATTCCCATCAGGTATTAATAGAAGAGGATGACAATCCTGACTTTGGTAAGTTTTAATTGTAATTTTTTTTTTAATTTTGGCATTTAAAACATTAAATTAATGTCATATTATAAGTTACTGCATTATTATTTATCGTTCCTTTAAATGTTGTAATCATTAGCACATAAATTAACAGACTATTGCCAATTTAGTTTTCCTAAATTCAAGATTAAAGTCAAATCTTGCCAAAGGATCCCTAAATCCAAGATTTGACAAGTTTTATGGCTCTCAAGGATTCATAAAAAACCCCATTCCCTTTGGACTTTAGAGGTGGCTGTGGAAAGGATGGCATTTGGGTATGTCACCAACTCAAGATGACCAACATCTCGTCAAACACACTCCTTGACCATCGACCTTCACTTCACCTAGAAGTTCTACTAGCCGGAATCAAAATTTATGACAACCACCCCAACATTGTTGATCTCTACTAGAATCTTGCTACCAACGAAAGTGCATCTTACATCAATTTCTCTATCTTCATCTGCTTATTATCACCATGAATTAACTAGTTTAACATATTGAGATTAGGATCATATTTAGATATGAATAGAATTTTTTAATTGGACATTTTGATGTGAATGGAATTTGATTGATGTATATTAAAAGAATAAATAATTAGGGTAAGGAACTATATATATATATATATATATAATGGTATGGTATAGTCATCATCTAGTTAAAAACCACATGCTCTTTTTAATATAATTAACATGGCATAAACACAATATTATAAGAAATTTTATGATCAATTGATCATCATTTGGATGCATCAAAATTTTTATAGCAGATGGCTCTGATTTCTTGAAAAGATGATTATGATTTCAAATTATATAAGTTTGCAAATAGCTTAGAATAAAATATATGGGTCCACGAAGATATCATCCATGTCTTAGATGGTTTTGATTGGTTAAGTTTGCGAGAAAACTATCTTTTAAAATATCTTCATATGTCATCCAATCATTCTTGATTTTTTTTATATGCTTAATTAATGGTGAGATGATCACAAAAAATAAGGAAACTTAGTTCACATGTAATTCCTATGTGATGTGCTCTCTATTTCAAAAGACTATAAAAAGGTAGATGCAAAAAAACAAAATAGCGAGGAGAATAGGCACCCCCTCCCCACAACACACAAATATATATTAGACATGCCATTATCGTGCATAACATTTGGATACTGCATAGCGTTAGTAATTTGAAATTTTAATGTAAAATAGCATAAAACATCATGTTTAAGTCATATTCACAACTATTACGGAAAGCCCAGAACCACAAGCAACTAAAAAAGGAAAAAAAAAAAATATTGAACTTCTTTATATTATAGCCTCATTTTCATGAACTTCGCAAATATGTTTTTTTCCCTCATCAGTCTAAGCCCCCCTTATCAAAAACCTAGATTTAGAGTTGAGTTCATTATTAACGGAAAGATTCTCATAATCTCATCCTCTTATTCTTTCTGAAGCTTGAGGGTTATATTCAATAACAGTTATTATTGAGGAGGTCGAGGGAGACTCAGGCGAAGTATGATTGGAAAGCATTATGGTTATCTATATATATAATTTGGAATTACAATGTATCTTTTGAGTTATGTTCGGGATTTTAATATATAACTCACTACCATTAGTTTATGACTATTTTCCATAAAGCCCTTGATGCAATAGATGAGCCATAGAGGAGATTTGGAATACAACTAATGACGAGAACCTTTGGTTAGCTACATTTATAAATATTGTAGTTGTATAGTGCAGTTTTAGACAATTCTGCTCAAATGCATCATGCTATTGTATGTTGAAATAAAAAAGTTAAAAGATTTATCAGGATGAATTTTGTAATAAGGACCACATTGCATATACATCTAACATTTTGTAACTTGTAGTTATCTTGAACGAAAGGATCAAGGTTCAATGGCTCTTTTAAGCTTTGGATGTTTCTTTGGATGGTTATTATAATTTTTTGAATGAAACACATGTAATGTATGTAAATAATCATGAATTGTCAATGTGTAGTCATTTTGGCGTTAAATATGTATGCTTTTGGTGATGATATGTCGGTTCAACCATTCCATCATGGCTGCCTGTTCATGCCTCAGATCATTCGAGCTCGATTGGGTTATGACATAAGCTATTGCGAAATCAAATATAAATTGTATCATTCCATTCATATATATTGACTCATACACTCCATGAATCCTCAAACCATCATTCCTACTAGAACCTATAAATCCATTTGTCACCCCTAATAAATATCATTTATTTCTCCGTTATATGTTACATTAATTCAACCATGTCTTTCCAAAATTGAGTTTTTAAACTATTTTTAAATCCAAATTGAGAAGCATAGGCATTAACCAAAATTTTAATGTAATATAATAATTATCTTAATAATAATCATCATATTACTAACTCTATCACCTCAACAATTAACATTTTAATTTTCTATCCATTACTAATACAATATTATTTCAATTGTTAGTATTTTAAACATATAGTAACTCAAAACCAGCCCTAATGTATTTGGATACTTCCCTTTTCTATTTATTTTCCTTCAAACAAGCAATATTTATTCTTCTAGTCATTATCTCAACCACTTCTCTTGTTTCCCTTCATAGTTCCTAATTTTCTTGTGAAAAATATAAACTTAGTTTTATATTTCAAACCTTAATTTTTTTCATCATAATTAGATTAAGTCATGGCGCATCAATGTGAATGATGTCCTAGCCAATTCTTCATTACTTCTCACCACAGTCAGATTAAAGGTGAATCCACCACAACATTTCACATGTAACATAATATTAACAATGTTAGTGCATTTATAAATGAATCCATCATTCGCATTCAATTGCATATATTTTCAAAATTACATATTGAAATAAGGAATATGAAATAACATGCAATATTCACTTGATTCAAACAAAAAAACTTTACTAATGCTGCAACTGCAATGACGCAAATTCATCATGGTAACTTCATACAACCATTCAGTTCATAAAATTATGGCATGTTGGGTGCCCCTCCAGCAGCGAATATGGTGAAGTAGCAAACCACATTCCTGGATGCTCCTTCGGGGCACCAGTTGGAAACACAATATTTCGGTGGCGGAATGTAGGAAAGATGCCAGGTGTACCAAACAACAAATATGTGCATCATTTAGAAAGCAAACGCCAATGAGACCCAAGTCCTATCAAATCCAATGGAATAAATCACAATTACTCCTACATCATGTAGATTTATGTAATATACTAAACTCATTTTGTATCAATAGGCTATTCACGTTTTAGATATCTTGGATCTATTGTTCAGAGTGATGGTGAAATAGATGGGGATATTATCAGCAGAATTCAAGTTGGATGGTTGAAGTGGAGAAATGCATCGGGCTTGTTATGTGATAGAAATGTACCCCTCAAACTTAAGGGAAAATTCTATAAGATGGTAGTGAGGCCTGTAATGCTTTATGGTGCCGAATGTTGGCCATTAAAAGAGAAGCATAATACTAAGTTAAGTGTAGCAGAGATGAGGATGCTCAGGTGGATGAGTGGCTTTACCCTTAGAGATAGGATACAAAATGAGCATATACGTGAAAAGGCTGGAGTAGCTCCAGTAGAAGATAAGATTAGAGAGAGTCGCCTTAGATGGTTTGGTCACATAAAACGGCGGCCTTCCGATGACCCGGTTAGGAGAGTAGAGGTATTAGATTTGACTTATGTTAAGAAAGGTAGGGGTGAACCTAAAAAGACTTGGTTAGAAAATATTAGGAATGACCTTTCTTTATTAGATTTAAACGAGAATTTGACTTTTAATAGGACACAATGGAGAAAAAGGATTCATGTAGCCGACCCCACATAGTGGGATAAAGGCTTGATGTTGTTGTTGTAGGCTTTTCACGGCTTTAAGTCCAGAATAAGCGCTCTATAGTATAAAAAATTAATATAAAATTTGATCATATATACTTTCAAGAAAACTTCCTAATATAACTTCAATATTTATCAGACGTGGATGTAACATTTAGAATTTAAATCTCATATGGAGAAATAAAATGTCATCCAACAAATGAGAAATAATTTGCATTGATAGAGAAGAAATCACCTATTGCTGACTTTGTGTCGCTAAAGAATTTAGGGTGCTTAATCAAGTTACTGAATAGGTTTTGTTTAACATATTGAGCAGCACGAGCGCCACCATGACCTGCATGTAAACATGAAAAATATTTATAGTTGGGTGTCGGAAGTTATATTAGCAACCATTAGAAAGAGAACGTGTCAAAACAACATAAATATAAAACATTAAAACATAGAAACTACAACATGACAAAACAAGGATATAACTGTTCAAATATACCACATAAGTAGAGCAATCAGATAAAAAAAAAAGACTAAACATGTAGAACTGAAAGGCGCCAGTTTACATTCACATTGATATATAGGCATTGAGAAACATGATACTTCTAATTTTACCAAATTGAGGGGAAAAAATTACCATCAAATACTCCAAAAAGACCAACAATTTCACCATCTACACCATCAATTCTTGTTTCATAAAAATCCTCCATTGAAGACCTTTTCCCTGGAGAACTGGCATATCCATAGCTGAATTTGCTGTTCTGACTGCCATCAAGATAAAATGCTAAATATAGTGGAACTTGATTGTTTAGAGGTAAAGAATGGCATACAAGATTTATGTAAAAAAAAGATCGTACATTTACATAAGTTCATACCAAAGGTATAAAAACTTAAAAAATAAGAACATTTTTTTTTATAATCATTCCTAACCTTAACAAATCTTTAAAAAATAAGAACATAGAGACATGATCATATGACATAGCAATAACAAGATAAAACCACAATAAAACAGTCAAGGCTGGGTAAGCAAGCCAGAGTAAGAAAGTTTTATTTGTTTTAGAGAATATATGGAATTTATATTCATTATAAAAAAGGAACTTGACACAATTATATTCGCATCGTGAATTGGAGTTGGAGGTCATGAGTTTGAACCACAAAAAAATTCTCTATGCTTTGTCATACAAGCATTCTAAATGTAAGGGTTTTGCATAAATAGCTCTCCAACTCATAAAATGATGGAAGCCTCATGCTTGAGTATCCTTTTTTTTATAGAATTTTCTTCAATCAAGATTTACATAAAAAGAATTTGTTCAACTGCCAAAGGATTGCCAAACAACTAAATAGTATATGCTAAAAAAAGAAGGGTGCTAACATAGGAGAATATTTAAGAATAAATAATTAGAAATCTAATAAAACATAACATAAGTTCCTTTTCTATGGAAGAGGTAGCTAAATAATATCATTGGCAAGAAATACAACACCAGAAATAAAGCCTAATGAGACAAATTAGTTGATGACTACAGTTAAAAGTAAGATCTCGAGCAAGACTTAATTTATGAATTGCTTCCATTGGAGGGAACAATCAAAGGTGTCCTTCAGCCATTTCTCGAACTGCACATGTGAAACTACATAAGGAGAAATCAGTATAGCAGTGTGACTTTGAACTTTTGGACTGTTTTAATGACTTGAATTTCTTTCATGTTTCCAGTTTTAAGGGAACAAGAGACTTGTTTAGGTTCAAACTATTTTTTTAGTATTTCAACGGCTTTCTTGAATGTGTTTGTGCGATGAGACTAAATAAATTGAACAACATGACACTTGGAAACAGGTGAAAAGATGACAAATGGCATCTCCACCGAAAATCCCATCTTTCACTCCAAAATACAGTGAAACTAAAAAATGTTGTTATTCATCTCCAATCAAACTCCATTTTGCGCTTCTGCGAAGGTAAGCGTCTTTCTCCTCTTTCCCGTGTTTCTTCGGCAAATCCGGTTGAGAGAGAAAAATTGCCTAGGTGAACAATGTCACGCCAATATTGGTGTCGCACTGTTCACACTCCACGGATTAATGATTTTTTTGCCGTTTGAATGGAGCAAACCAGCTACGCCTTACAATCGTTTGGAGTTCGGCTGGAGACGCCCAAATAGGGCATCGCGTTCTAGAAATTGGAATAACAAGAACCTCATCATGTGCCTGCTTAGGAAAATATTTTGCAATTGCTTTGGTCCTAAATAGAAAACTTAAAACAGCAGAACAAAAACAATAAAGCGAACTATGATAATCAAAGGAAAAAAAAGCAACGATTATAGTGTCAATTTCCTTCTTTAGCAATCCTAAAGTTGCTTAAAAAATTAGAAAACTCCAGCAAATTATCATACAGAATGGACGGTCAAACTCCTCTACGGGATAAACCAAACATCCCATAAAAACCTTAATACAAGATGATCGGAAACATGTTTCATGTTCTTTACACCGAATGCCACAAGAAAAAAGCTATCCAAATGAACCAATTCTACAGTACATAATAATAAACCTACATAAGCAATCAGAAAAAAAGTTTGTAATTGGGATACCTGAGGCCTCCGCCGCTGACGGGAGAACCATCACCCTGGATTCCACTCGCCAAAAGCACAGAGTTCAAATAACCCATATCTTCTAGCGACGCCGGCGTTCTCTCCTCTCTTCCAATTGTCTCAATTCGCTCACAGAACAACAATTAGAAACGACTCCAGAAATCCTCATAACTCACCCATTCCTAAATTAACCTATTGAGAAGATCATGAACCAAATCAAAAGCGTAAATCACGGGTCAACACAGGATAGCGAAGCAGAAAACGAATTCGAAAACAATCAGATTAAAAAAGAAGATAAGAAAGAGATAGACATAAGAGTAGATAGAGACACGCATGTAATTAAATAAAACGGATAAAAAAGCAAAGTTTTTCGAGTCATTTCACATTAGGGATAGGGGCTGGTTGACTCAAAATTATAAATTTCTTTGGTACCTGATGTCGCGGACGGCAGGACTAAGGGCCCTAGGATGGCAAACAGTTTGGGCTCCAAATCAGGTGGATCTGCAGGTTCAGGGTTATGTTATAGATACCACAGATGAATTTCTCAGAGAGACCTCGACGACAGCGGAAGCCGTGGAGAATGAAGGATGGGTGATCAGAGGTGCAGTGGCTTGGTTGGAGGGGAGGTGAAAAACAATTTGTTTTAAGTTGGAGACCTACCCTTCCCTCCTCTAAGTCATCTCCAAAAGTTCACTCCAAAATAACAGTAACACTTCAAAATATAATACCTTTTCTGTGATCTAACCAAGGTTTTCAGAACCGGACCGGACAACGAACCGGTCGAACCGGGGTCGAACCGGATGACGTAATAAATAACAATATTATTAAAAAAATTAAAAATAATGATTAATTTTTCTCTAATACATTCATTCTACATTCTATTTTCTATGTTGGCATAGAAATACAAAAAATCACATGAGGGAAATTATTGAAGCACATGAAACTATTGAGTTAAATCTCACATTAGTTATATGAAGAATACATTGGTATAGAAATACAAAAAATCATTGACCCTCCCACAAAACAAAATCATTGACCATGCTTTAGATAACATCCCGACATGAAAACCTACAGGACATTAACTTAGACTTTCAAACTCTAATTTGGTTCAAAACTTCAAATAATATTTGTGAACAATACTATCCCAATATTGACATTACACTATTCAAGTCCTGAGAATTGTACAGCATTTCGTGTTTGGGTGGAGCAGTTTGTCGGCGACAAACACTGATTTAGAATTCAGCTAGAGATTGCCTAATTGCGTGTTAGTCAGCTTTACTCGATTCCAAAGTAGAATATTAGACAAAATTTAGAAAGAGAAGAATATAAATTTTTTAAGGAATGATGTATCATAAAAAAATTATCTTGATTGGGCACGAATCTCGAGGCAAAAACAAATTAGAAACTTCAAAAATTAAATATGTGATCATATGAACACTGATTTTAGCAAACTTATAGTCGGCTGAACGTCTTGAAATACAAACCCAACGACACCAAATTCGACCAGTCCGAGCTCAAATGAGTCCAAATCAAATACCTGAGGCACATTTGGAAGGTTCAAACCATAATTTGGATTACCAAACAATTTCTAAATGTGACATGCTTATAGTCGAATTGAGCGGTTCGACGAGATGAATATAATGAGCAAAATATTGTTGAATTTTAATATCATTAAGGCATTCAAGTGCCTAATAAATAGTCCATGATCAAGATATTCAACATCGGTCGTCCATTTAAACCACTCCCAATTTACCATTAATCTTCCTCCTATTTACTATCCATGCCACTCTCAGAAAATTATAAATAACCCCTTGTTTCTCATGGTGGGAAAAAAGGAAGAGAAGGAAGACAGCTCTCTTGCCACCAGACTCCTCCTTGACAACCGCAGGACTTCTACCAGGTCGCCAACTAACACCGAACTTTTGCCCGACCGCCGGCTGATGCCCGACTTCTGACCCACCCTCAATTGAAGCTGGATTTCCAATCTCCGTTCGTAAATGAATTTCAACCCAAACGTTGATTATTGTAATATGATTGTCCTCAATTTTAGCGACGAGTCAATCACTTGCAATCTAATCCAACACTAGTGGAATCATTTCAACTAAGCGTGATCCCATGATTTTTCCCTTTTTTAGGATTTTCCACATAAAAAAATTTAGTTTTTCTTTTTTCTTCTATTAGTGTGTTGGATATTCGTACAACTCTTGAGATGAAAATTTCTAATTCTATCACCGTGTATATTCTAGCCCACAACAGTTTGATACCGTCTATGGGAACACAATCCCACAATCCTAAGCACTTATTCCTAGGGGTGTCAATTCACGGATCAAACCCGATTTTGACCCGGCTATTTTTGATCTGACATGAACCCTACCCGATTCAGATTTTGGGTCAATTTCTTAACCCGAATTCGACCCGGATCAAATTCGGGTCAACCCGACCCTACCTGTAAATTATTAAATATATGAAAAATATGAAATTTGAAAAATTAATTTGCAATTAAATACATGAAGTTTCGAAAGGTAATGCATACAAAAAACTTGTAACCATTATTTAAATTGTTTAGAAATTAGAATGTTACATATTACATTGATTAACAAAGTAAATAATTTACAAATATACTCAAATTACAGTTCTTAAACGGATACACTTCAACTTGAATAATAAATATATTATTAAACCTCCTGTTGTCCTACAGTTCAACTTTAATTAACTGCAAAAAAAATGATGGTTAAACACTTAAAGCTTAAAAGTCATAAACAAATAAAAATCATAAATTCTAAATAATGAGGTTGTATAACTAGAAAGCTTTATTAAAAGCTTAGGTAAACCCTCCAACACATTTAGCAACTATTGAGAAGTAACTCAAGTGAGTAAATAATATATATTTGATTTTTCTAATTCTCTATTACTATCCAATGTGGTAGTTTGCATTAAATTTAAGGACTTAATGTAGTGTCTATGAATTAATAAAGTATTTTCTCTTGATTTATGCTAACACAAATGCCACCTGGTTGCAATGGTATTTACCCCCAACACGCAACGGCCATCACTTTTAGTTTGGAAGGTTTTTTATCATTGCTTGAGCTTTCATAGCTATACCCTTTTTCTTAATTCATCAAATAGATGAGTTGATTAAGCATCAAAAATTCAGATTATAGTATCCATAAGGATCATAAAATAGAAAATAATATTTAATCCCAGCAGCCGAGAGGCCAATAGATTTACAGCATCCATAAGCTTTAGAAAATAAAAAACAACAGCACTTCAGCACCAAACATGGAAACAAGCTTTGGAAAACATAAAACAACCGAATCCAACAAGCTTTTATGCTGTTATAGTGTTATTTGAAATAGGAAAAATCACAATTTCACTAATCACTATAGCACAAAAAACAACTACAGACTGATATATTTAAAAATTAAATGCATTTGTGCTCAAGCAGCATGTAAATAACAGCAAAAATAGTCACCAAAAGGTCCAAAACAGAGATCTCAAGGTCACAAATATATTTAGTGATCTAGTCAACGAAAAAGATTCCAAAAGGTCCAAAACAGATAACTGAAGCAGCATGAAACCAACAACAAAAACATATAAACATTAAATTAAGTTAGTTCAGTTTTAATAACATCATAGAAGCATTTCAACATCATGTTCTTCATCAAATAGGTTAATTCAGCAACAACAAAGCAGCAACCACTAACCATCCAGAGGACCATAACATAATAAAGAACACTCATCCACTTAATAGGTAAATTCATCATAGTCACGACCATTTAAAATATCAACTAGTTCATTAGAATTAAGAAAATAATAATAAGCAGTTCTTAAAATTTCCTCCCCAACACTAACTAGGCTACTCTATTAGCTGGAACCTTTGGTATATTTGTTGCCAATTTTTTAAATACTTAAGTTCTTGATGTCCTAAGTTACACTCTCAAGTTCTAGATCATTCATAACTACAAAGAAAAAAACATATTACTATGAACTTATGAGAGAAAACCAATTAAAAAAGCAATATCAAATAAATTGAACTATGACCATTATCTCCATATAACCTATCTTTACTACAAAATATTGATCCAATACTCTGCCACTGATACTGAATGCACTTTCTGAAGCTATTGTAGAAATGTGAATGCATAAAACATCTCGAGCCATACCGGCTACTTCAAGAAACATGTATTGGTTACCTTTCAAAAAATGAAATATGTCTAACGTAACCTTCCTATCAAATTTTTGTTCTTCAAGATACATTTCAAGTTGTGACTTCCTAGGCATAAAAATTTCCTCATCGAATGAGTCATAATCCTAATAATGAATTTCACCATACATTGGTCAATTTAGTGAATGGAAGTTTAAATAAATGAAAATGAATAATACATGAAGAAACTGTGATTTTATAATTATTGGAAGGAAATTCATTGAGCTATCAACTTGGGAGCTAATTGAGGGTACTGAGGACTGCCCATCGAAGGTTTGTCGGTCAACCTTTTCATAGTTTGCAAATAATGCAAATAGTTTATCCCTAACCTTCTTAGTTTCAGTAATGTAATCACCTTCATATAACTTTCTATAACACTACTCGACAAATGTGAACTTGTGCCTACGATCCAAGATAATCATTATTGCAAAGATATCACATAAATCAAATCAGTACTTCTCAAATTTTACTAACATCCTTGTTGCAATATTTTTGATGTACTCAACACCATAAGACCTTTCATGCTTAAGTGTTGCATAAGCCATAGAAACATAATGGAAGAATAGATTTTAAGTGGGGTATTTTGTGTCTGAAAAGGCATAAGTAATCTCATAAAAAAGAGCTAGGAACTTGCAAATACTCTCTAGCCTCTCTCATTCAATATTATTCGGGCAATATTTAAAGTTAGAGCCAAGTAGTTCCAAATGTTGGAAAGCACATTTCAAGTAAATAGTAGAATCAAGCATGATGAATGTCGAGTTCCACCTTGTAGGAACATCTTGTCTTAATCTTTTCTTAGAGTCAATATAGCTTTACTTGACACATTCCATTCTTTTTTCTTTCTAGCCTATGAACCTTTGTTATATTTAATACTTTCTCTAATATTAACAACAAAGAGATCAACCTCCTTCAATCTCACTTACATGATAAGATTCATAACATGAGCACAACATCTTATAAGAAAAAAATCACCCTTACATAATAGCGCACCATGCAAATTTAATTAGTTTCTTAAGAATTTAATAGAAATATTATTAGCAAAAGTATTGTCTAGAGTAATACTAAGTATTCTATTCGGAATTTTCCATTCATTCAAAAAATAGTGAAGCTTTTCACAAAAAAGCAATATCAAAATGTGGTAGTGGCATAAAACAAAAAAATAATTATCTTTTTTTGCAACAATTAGTTATTATTAATGAAATGGACAGTCAAACAAATGAACCCATCAGTATTAATTGATGTCTATAAGTCAGAAGTCAACGAAAATCTATTGGTACAGTTTAAAATCTCTATTTGAAGAAGGCATTTCTTTTTAGTAAATATCTTATTGCAATGATATCCAGCAGTGTTTCTAGATACTATTTGTAGATCACGATGGAGATAATGCAACATTGAATGAAGACCAACCCATTCAACACATTAAAAAGGAAGATCATGTATGATTATGCAAGCAATGAATAACTAACGA